AATTTTTACCCTTTAAAGATCTCCACCTCAACATATGCTGTTTCCTACATTTTTGAATATTATTTTTTATTTTTTTTAGAAGAAGCATATCATTACAGCTTTAACATGCCCAATAACAGTTTCCAGAGTAAAGACACAGCTCCTTCAAAAGTGGCTGTAAATTTTCTAGGTTTGCTATTGAATCAACACAGTTATACAATATTGAACTCAGTATAATCTCTGTAAGACATAAAATTGAATGAGTTTTAACCCTCAAAAGAGATCTCCATTTCATTCTAAAATATACTATTTCTTACAGAAATATTCATTGTATTTGCTACTAACATTGAAATGTTGGTGCATGCGTCTCTAATCTGTATCTGATTATTACTAGACATAATTGTTTACACTCAGATTCTTGCTGCCTGTGTATGCCTATATATATATAAAGGCTACAGACTTTTGTAGGTTAATTTTGTAACCTGCCATTTTACTGAACATGTTAATAATTTCTAGGACTTTTCTGATAGAGTTTTTGGCATCTCTTAGATATCATATCATCTACAAAAAGGGATGATTTGATCTTTTCTTTTCCAATTATTACTCCTTTAATTTACTGCTCTTGTCTTATTGCTCTTGCAAGAGTTTTAAGCACTATTGTAAAGAGAACTAGAGATAGTGGACAGCCTTGTCTGGTTCCTGATTTCAAATGGGAATGCTTCCAGTTTTTCTCCATTTAGAGTGACGTTGGCTGTGGGCTTGTTGTATATGGCTTTAATTATGTTGAGGTATGTTCCCTCCAGTCCAATTCCCTCTAGGACTTTGAACATAAATGCATGTTGAATTTTGTCAAAGGCCTTCTCTGAATCTATTGAGATGACCATGTGGTTCTTGTCTTTGAGTCCATTTATATGATTTATGACGTTTATTGACTTAAGTATATTGAACCATCCCTGCATCTCTGGGATAATGCCGACTTGATCATGTTGGATGATTTTTTTTGATGTGTGTCTGTATGCGGTTTGCAAGAATCTTGTCAAGAATTTTTGCATCTATGTTCAATAAGGATATGGGTCTATAGTTTTCTTTTTCAGTTGTATCTTTACCCGGTTTTGGTATTAGAGTGATGCTGGCTTCATAGAAGGAATATGGAAGTTCGCCCTCCATTTCTATCTTTTTGAATAAATTAAGTAATATTGGATGTGATCTTCTTTAAATGTCTGATAGAATTCTGCTATAAATCCATCTAGTCCTTGGCTTTTTTTCATTGGGAGGTTTTGTATTACTGTTTCAATTTCTTTTTGTGTTATGGGTCTGTTTAAGCTGTTAATCTCTTCTTGGTTTAGTTTTGGTAGTTCCCATGCCTTTACATATCCATCCATTTCTTTTAGGTTTTCATATTTATTAGCATATAGGTTTTTAAAATATTCCCTTATAATGTTCTGTATCTTGCTGGTGTCTGTTGTGATGTTTCCCCTTTCATCTCTGATTTTGTTGATTTGGAGGTGCTCTTTCTTTCTTTTGGTTAATTGGGCTAGCGGTCTGTCAATCTTGTTTATCTTTTCAAAGAACCAGCCCTTGGAATTGTTGATTCTCTGTGTTTTCTTTGTTTCTATTTCATTGATTTCTGCACAGATTTTTATTATTTCTTCTTATTTGTTATTTCTTCTTGTCTGCTGGGTTTGAGTTTCATTTGTTGTTGCTTTTCAACTGTCTTGAGTTGCAATGTTAAGTCATTTATTTGTGATCTTTAGGATTTTTTGATGTAAGCACTTAGAGCTATAAACTTCCCCCTGACGACAGCTTTCAGCGTGTCCCAGAGGTTTTGTTGTGTTGTATTTTTTCATTTAGTTCCAGGAATACTTTTATTTCCTTTTTAATTTCCCTTCTGACCTATTCATCATTCAGGAGTGTGCTGTTTAATCTCCATGTGTTCATGTGTTGACTAGGGCTTCTTCCAGTGCTGATTGTAAGCTTTATTGCATTGTGGCCTGATATAACACATGGAATTATTTCAATCTTTTTGTATTTGTTGAGGTTTGTTTTGTGCCCCAGTATATGGTCAATTTTGGAGAAGGTTCCATGTGGTGCTGAGTAGAAAGTATGTCCTTTGGTGTTTGGGTGGAATACTCAGTAGATGTCTGTTAGGTCCATTTGATATATGGTATTGTTTAATTCAGATGTCTCTCTGTTAACTCTCTGCCCTGTTGACCTATCTAATGGAGACAGTGGTATATTGGAGTCCCCTACTATTAATAAATTGGGATTAATCTGAGTCTTAAAGTCCTCTAGTATTGTTTTTATGAAGTTGGGTGCACCAGAGTTCGGTGAATATATGTTCATGACTGTAATATCTTCTTGGTTTATTGTTTCTTTGATCACAATTAAGTGGCCCTCTTTATCTCTTCTGATTAGTTTTAGTATAAAGTCTATTTTGTCAGATATTAGAATTGCAATGCCTGCTTTTTTCTTAATACCATTGGCTTGGTATATTTTTTTCCAGCCTTTCGCCTTAAGATAGTGTGTGTCCTTGAAAGTGAGATGAGTTTCTTGCAGACCACAAAAAGATTGGTTCTGTTTCTTAATCCATTCACCTAGTCTGTGTCTTTTGACTGGGGAGTTCAGTCCATTAATATTTAAGTTATTAATGAAAGATATGTATTGAATCCTGTCATTTTTATTTCTGTTTACATTCTTGATTCAGCTGTACTTTTCCACAGTTATACATTCATTGAATTTCTTTCCAAAACGCCTTGGGTATAGTCATTATTTTCTTCAGCTCTTTGCATTGCTTCCAGAACTTTCTGAAGGGCTGGTTTTGTGGACATGAATTCCTTCAGCCTATTTATGTCATGGAAGATTTTTCTTTCCCCTTCGACTATAATAGACATTTTGGCTGGGTATAGTAATCTGGGTTGGCATCTGTGGTCATTTAAAACTGGGAATACTTTGGTCCAGGCTCTTCTGGCTTTCATAGTTTGCACTGAAAAGTCAGCTGTAATCCTAATGGTTTTCCTTTATATGTGACTTGTTGTTTCTCTTTTGCAGCTTTCAGTATTTTCCCTTTTGTTCTCTGTGCTTAGTGTTTTTACTATGATGTGCCGTGGAGAGTTTCTTTTCTGGTCCTGTCTGTTTGGTGTTCTATATGCTTTTTGTATTTGTATGGGCATGTCTTTCTTTAATTTTAGGAAATTTTCTTCCATGATTCTGTTAAAGATCTGGTCTATGCCATTATCTTGGGATTCTTCTTCCTATATGCCTATGATTTGTAAATTTGGTCTTTTTATGGTGTCACACAATTCCTGCATATTCTATTTTTGTGTTTTCTTAAATTTTTCATAATCTTTGCTTGAGTGGTCTAATTTGTCCATTTTATCTTCCAGTCTTGATATTCTGTTTTCCATTTCATTCATCCTATTGGTGAGGCTTTCTCCTGTCATTTCTAATTGGTTTACTGAGTGTTTCACCTCCTTATGCATTTCAGCCTGAGTATTCTTCAATATTTCCATCAATATTTCTAGCTCTTTTCTGAATTCATTCAGAAGTTTATCCTTATCTTCCTTCAGTTCTTTGATTTCTTTGTTTTTGTGATCTTTAAATTTGCTGAATTCTTTCATCATGTTTATATTTGTTGTTTTGAGTTCCATGTCCTGCATTATCTCTAGGGGTTTCTCATTGTACTCCTCTTGAGGACTATTGGTATTTTGTGGGGATAAGTTATTTTGGTTTTTCATGTTATTTTTTCTCTGTGATTTTGACATGTGAATTTCTTTTGTAGTTTCTGATTCTTGTGTGACTCTAGTCTTCAGGTTTAGGTCTGCTTCTTTTTGTAAACTTTATGTGCCTTTGTGGTTTACTTTTGGGGGATCTGGTTCATCTAAGCTTCTGGTTCTCTTTTTTGATTTTATATTGGAGTGGCCAGATTGCTTTTGTCTTCAGGAGTTCCCACAGAGGCCCAAGTCAGATGAGGATCAGATGCTCTCAGGCTTTCTCCTAAGGTCTGAATCCCTCTAGGAAAATTTTTGGCCTCAGGAATTTGGGGGTTGTACTGGCCTGGGAGCAAGGCCCAGGAAAGATGCTGGTTTCGGGCAGCTGGTAGCCCTGAGACTCAGAGAAGCAAAGGGAGATGGGGGCAGGAAGAGGCCCCAAGGGCTCCTGGGGACTCCACTGAGGAACTGGGTTGGTCTGGATGCAAAGGATCAGAAAGCCAAAAGTTCAGCCCCAGTGTCCAGGAAAGAGGCTGGCAGGCCTTGCAGCCCAAGGAAGCAGAAGGAGGTGAGGGCAGGACCAGGCCCAGAAGGCTCCTGGGGACCAGGAGAAGGAACAGGGTTGGTCTGGATACAAAGGAACAAGAAGCAGTGGTGGTTCCCTGGCGTCTGGGGCGCCAAGACAAGGAATGGGACAGGACCCAGGCTAGGAGGAGAGATGGGGTGGGAGAGATGTGAGGGTGAATGAGGGTGGGGGAGTCAAGGCTCAGAGGGCGAGATCGACTTACCCCGAGGGAAGCCAGGGTTGTGCAGCCCCAGGGAAGCAGAAGGAGGTCAAAATCACATTTATTAATGAATATAGTCTTGCCTAAAATTATTTTATGAGTACTAATGGATATTTATTGAAGTCTTAACATTCATGTCTGAAAATTATGCAATGCCAAAATATTGTGTAAGAAGAGAAATTCAAACTGGAAGAATGGAATTATTGTTAATTGAACATTGATTTGGATTTTCACTTCTTTGAGTAGATGAACATTTAAAGTGGCATGCATCATTGTCATAAACCAGAACACATATTTACAACTACCACCACTAGCCAAAAGGTAATAAATAATCCACATTGACAGCTTTACAAATATAGAATTTACACAACTCCTGAGTTTCTTCTGTGGAACTCAGACATTTGAAATGCTGCTATCTTCATTTTATACATAAACTTATAGGAGGTAAGAACAAGGAAATAATTGAACTTCTGTTTAAATAATTTCCACAGATGAAATATACAGAGATCAAGGCAGAAGACAATATTTCCACAGTGATTCAGTTCATCCTCCTGGGATTCTCTGGCCTTCCCAACCTCCAATGGTTTCTGTTTGGAATTTTCTCCATAATGTACTTGATTATCTTAATTGGAAATAGTTCCATAATTGTGATAACCAGGCTTGACCCCGCATTGCAAAAGCCAATGTATTTTTTCTTGGCCAATTTTTCTTTTCTGGAAATCTGTTATGTGTCAGTCACTCTCCCTAGGATTCTGTACAATCTTTTGACTCAAGACAGAGGAATTTCTCTTCTGGCCTGTGCTACTCAAATGTTCTTCTTCCTAATTCTGGCAGCAACTGAATGTTTCCTCCTGGCTGTGATGGCCTATGACTGCTATGTGGCCATCTGTAACCCCCTGCACTATTCTCTCATCATGAACCCAACAAAGTGCACTCATTTGGCAGTGGGCTCCTGGCTTGGTAGCATCCCAGTCCAGATAGGGCAAACCTATTGGATATTCTCTCTGCACTTCTGCAATTCTAACAGAATAGACCACTTCTTCTGTGACGTTCCCCCCATCCTGAAGCTGGCCTGTGGGGACTCTTCAGTGCATGAGCTGTCTATCTACATAGTGGTTATGCTCTTTGTTGCCTTCCCTTTTATGCTGGTACTTGCCTCCTATGGCAAAATCCTTGCCACCATTCTCAGACTGCCAACAGCCAAGGGACGGGCTAAAGCCTTCACCACATGTTCTTCCCACCTGGTTGTGGTGGTTTTGTTTTTTGGGTCTGGCACTATTACCTATTTGAGGCCAAAGTCCAGTCATTCTGCGGGAACTGATGAGCTGCTTTCTCTTTTCTACACCATTGTAACCCCCATGTTCAACCCCATGATATACAGCCTTAGGAACAAGGACGTGATTGCATCACTGAGAAGGTTCATACATAAAGTATAGAGCCATGGGCTGGTGTACAACCAGATGAATTACCTCCTATGTAGAGAAATATTTTGAATTTATATATTCCCTTTGAGATGGTAATCATCTCTATTATAATATGCTCTTCTTACTTTTGAATACTGCCATGTAATTGCTCTGCTTAAAAATATACTTGTTAAATCAGTCTATCCTTGATACTAAGTGCCTACAAAATTATTTCATAATTAAATTCTCAGTGTGCATCTTGTATTCCACATGAAAAGTATGAGCAGAACTCAGTTCCTTAAGCCATATAACTTAAATACACTTAGAAATTATTTGCATATATAATTTCCCAAGATATCTCAATAATATTTTCTGGTATTCATCTAGTCTTCATTAAATATATTTATCAGTGAGTAATATTGAATTACCAATTTTTTATTGAGGCTGGGATTCCCTGTCACCACAACTGGCCTCAAACTTTCTATGGACCAGGATGACTTGGATCTCACCGAGATTCTCCTGCCTCTGCCTCACAACTGTTGGGACTAAAGGCATGCGCAACCAGGCCCAGAGCTTAATTATCTGTTTAATGAAGACCTAAATGAAACAATAAATACTGCTGTGCCCTAACACAATTCTAGAAAATTTGAGAACTTTGTGAACAATAAACATTGGATGGATTATTTGGATTATTTAAATACTGTATATTTTTTTAATTTCTCTACTTGATTCACAATAATAACAGGAAAGCTGACAGGTACATTTACTCTTCCCAATCACTTCATTTCAGAGCACAGGGTACTTATAATACATTCATTAACGTGAGATTTAATGAGTAAATTATTAGGCACACTGTAGAATTTCAATTCTAATTGACTTATTCAGCTTTCCCTGGAATACAATGTCTTCCCCCTATATTAACATATATTCACTGTACATGGTACAAGATCATATAAGGATTTTTCCTCATAACCATATAATGTAGTCTGAGTATGCTTTCCCCAAAATACCTTTCTCCTAGCTCCTTTGCCACAGCCCCCACCTTCCATTGGTCTCTTTTGCTTTCCCTGGAAGCTTTACTTCATCATTCAGAACATATAGATATTCTTGGCTTCTGTTATAAGTGTAAAAACCTAGGAACCACAAGTAGGTGAAAACAGACAATATATTCCTTTCTGAGACAAACATAATTCATTTAAACCTTCAATTATAAGGATATAGAGATAAACCAAACATAATGAAAATGATAAGAACCTGTCATAATACACATAAATCAACATTGATACAATCAACGGACTAGACAGAAGGGAGTGAATGAGCTCAGCAGGATGAGGTCAATGATTTGGGATATGAGTGATTTAGGAAGAGCTCTTAGAGAATCTGTTATAATTCTGCTTTGATACAATAGTTGTCTATTCAACATAAAGAGGTCTACAATTTACTTAGATCTGCTTTTATTGGGTTTGGTTTTTGTTTTGTTTTTTTTTCTTTTTTCTTTTTTTTTTTTTTTTTTTTTTTGTTTTTTTGCAGATAGTAAATAATTCAGGATTGTAGAACAGTCACTGCCGGAACTACTTAATTCTTAGGCTGGCCTCAAACTCACAGAGATCCACCTGCCTCTGCCTCCCGAGTGCTGGGATTAAAGGCATGTGCCACCATGCCTGGCCTAGATCTACTTTTATGACTGAGTATTTTAGTGAGGCTGCTTCTGACTTCTGAGCTTGCTTGGATACGTGGTAAAGATATTCAGTTTATCCTGAGTCTTCATCTGAATGTCACACAGACTTCAAAATCTGAAAAAAAAAATGACTCCTGATTTCTTTGAATATACAGTGGACTTTAAATTATCTCATGAACCAAATTACATATCATCATATCTGGTAGCCTCTCAATCACTAAGTTGGGAATCAAACAGCTTCTGTTCAAATTTTTCATTTATAATAATCATTATAAAATGATTTTTAATTCAATTTAAAATATTAATAGATCCTTCTCAGAACATTTTAGAAGGACTTAAAGGATACATACTATTTACTAAAATTTACATAAATTCAGAATTTGCCTCTGAGTATTTAGATAAAACTTTACAATAGTAAACTCGTTTTCATTAACCCAAATATACATTAACACTTATTGAATAAAAACACTAAAGTTTCCCTATCAATATATTTAGTAATAAAGAATATAATTTTATAAAATTTTAGAGTTAATCAAAGGATATTGTAAAATAGGTAACAAGGAAAGTTTTAATTTATTCATAAAATAATCAAAACCAATGACCTTGCTCTAACTGTCCTGACAATTAATCATTCAACACAAATGAAATATGAAGAGATAATGACAGGAGACAATGTTTCCACAGTGATGCAGTTTGTCCTCCTGGGAGTCTCCTACCTTCCCAACCTCCAAGGATTTTTCTTCAGGATGTTCTCTGTAAGGTACTTGATTATCTTAATTGGAAATGGCTTCATAATTGTGACGACCAGGCTTGACTCTGCACTACAGAAACCCATGTCTGTTTTCCTATCAAATTTTTCTTTTCTGGAAATCTGTTACATATCAGTCACTCTCCCTAGGATTCTGTGTGACCTATGGACTCAAGACAGAGGAATTTCTTTTCTAGCTTGTGCCACACAAATGTGCTTCTTTCTAATGCTGGCAGCCACTGAAAGCATCCTTGTGACAGTGATGTCCTGTGACCGCTATGTGGCCATCTGCAACCCTCTGCATTATCCTCTGGTCATGAACACAACCAAGTGCACTCAGCTGGCAGTGGGCTCCTAGCTCAGTGGCATGCCATTCTAATTATAAGAAAAAAGTTGTCATGAGTATGATTCAATTACTATTTTCTTATACTCTATGCTTTTGGTATTGTCGATCTTAAAAGATCTTTTGTAGTGGATCGATTTTGTATTGCCTTATTAAGAATAAATCCTTGTCATACCATTCTTTACACTCTCCTTTCATGGAAGTGTCTTTAATGCAAACTGATTAAATATTAGCTAGTTTTAATCATACTGTAAATTTTGGTTATAGTTAGCTTTGAGTACAAATGAAATGCATAATTCTCTTACCCATCATCTGTTAGTTTGAAACCCAGTTAGGAATATTTGCCATAATGAAAGATAAAAGGCATTTCTGAAAATGCTGTCCTCAAGTAAAAGACCTTATGCCAGCATCAAAATACGTGGCTCTGTTCAGCAGCCCAGCGCTTTCTGAGATGAGATATCCATATATATAATATATACGGGGTGTGTGTGTGTGTGTGTGTGTGTGTGTGTGTGTGTGTGTATGTGAAGTACTGTTGGCTTTCAACGTTTCATTTGTATGCACTTGTACTGAGTAAAATACGAAAGGGTTTAAATGCTATAAGCTTGTCTTAAATTTCATGGTCACATTTTATCCTGATCAGAATTTCATCAGGGTGTCAAGATTTTATTTTTAAAACTAGTTTGTCATAACATTGTGACTAACTACAGTATTTGTTGTATGGGACTATTGTGAAAGTGCAGACTTATTTTCAATACTAAGGGAACAATTATTTAAAGTAATAATTATTTACTGAACATCAAATTGACTTATAAGTAATTTCTCGTGTAAGCTAAAATTGTTAAATTACAGCATGGTTCCTATTGCTTAAGAATATAAATCAATTTTCAGAAATTATTACTTCAAGTCCAGGATGCAATTTATCTCTCTGTTTAGATATGTTTTGTATAAAATAAACATTTTTCCAAGCATATGTAAAACATCTCTAAACATTTAAAGGAGAATTGGTCATTTAAAACCTACTTCAAAGCTTACAAGAACACCTCAAAGTTTGTACATTACAGTAATATACTTAAGATAATTGTTCATTGCTATATATTTATAAATATATAGGTATAAATATGAAATACTTAGTAAATTCTCACAACAAATGGCAGGTTTATGTAAATGTTATTATGTCTCATGGTATTTAAAGAAAGGCTTAAAAGATAGTAAACGTTAAAATAAAAATAATTTAATAAGATTTATGAATAAAGATGAAAATGGATGGATATTTCCAGGATAGAAGGGATAATGAGAACTTTAAGCAAGCTCATTAAAGGTCTGAACAGGTTTATAGAGATACAGAGTTGTTATTAATTAATCCTCAGTCCACTCCTCTGGCTTGTACTACACGCCCAGTTACATATTTGGATTAAATGGATGCAAACAAGTATTGGGTTGCCTAGAACTACTGAAAGATGTCCTTCATGTTTCTCTGTATTATGCAAGTATTGCTTTTGGTACTTTCTTTTGCCACTAACAAGGTAGTTTGACCCAAGAGAAACTAGGCTTTACCTCTTTGAACCAGATGAATACAGTCAGAAGAAAACAGTTTCATTGAAACTTGGTCCAAATCCTGAGCAGTTTATTTCCTGTCTGTAGGTATGTGATATGATGCTTCACTTTCCCCTGAAAACTGTAAATCAGGGTACGGAGAACAGGAAAAGAAAGGAGACTGCTTCTGTTTGTAATAGAACAGCCTTCATTTGAGTCAGATGTTAAAAAAATTAGTTAAAATCCCTTTCCAGTGCTGTGCCTACTTAACCTGTGATGTTAAATCTCTTCCAGTCAATGTTTATTCAAGAATGTTTGGGTTTTTCATTTAGGTTTTATCTATATATTACATAGTAATTAAAAGTGCCAGACTGGTGCCACTGATCTTCTTGGATGGCTAATAACCATACTTAAAAGCACATACTAATCTGGTCAAAAGGATCTTAAAGAGATTGTTTTATTCCTTGCCCTTCAAGGTCGACTAAATCTCAAGGGACTACAGACATCTCCAGAAAGTCTTGTAGTTCTGATGAGTCACAGGTTATCTTGTTCAGGGAGGTCATGGAGACCCCACCAGGGGGATTCAAAGTGTCCAGTCTTTAAAGAGGAAAGTCAACAGAGAAGAAAAGTCTCCTCCATGCTTCTAAGCAAAGTTACAGCCAAACAGGACCTCCTGATTTATCCTCATGTAGATGGAACTGGTAAAATGAAAACCAAAGGAGTCAGGG